CCAAAAGATTCAAGATTCCCTACTTTCGAGGTGTGTATATGAGAGATAGTTTACCAAACTGCGGGCCACTAAGAAACGAATCAGCCATTGTCAATTTGGATAGTAGTAGTGGGCCAGGAACACATTGGGTCGCTTACAAGAAAAGAGATGCGTCATTAATATATTTCGATAGTTATGGTGATTTACCCCCACCTTCAGATTTAATTAGTTATCTGTATAAAGGGCGTTGGCCGGTATCTGAAGTTCACTATAATTATAAACGCTACCAGAAGTTTGATACTGTCCTATGTGGACATTTGTGTTTGCAATTTCTTCTCTCTGAAGAATGAATACCCACGATGAAGAACAACCTAAGGATTTTTCTAAAAATGAATCTATTGACGTAAATGATGGTCCGACGGTATTTTTGAAACGCGGGTCAATTGACGTAAGCGATGATCCAACACCAAAACACGTAATTTGTTGTTTTTGTAAAATTCGAGAACTGAAAATTGCCACTAAAAAGCGAGTTTATAATTTATGTAATCGAAAATAGATTTCGAAGTCAGTGTGACATACTTCTTAGCCATGTCAAGAACATTTCATTTGTCGTCCATAGCGTCAAGCATTCTCAGCAATGATTTTTTTCCGCCCATCGAATTGGATGTTAATAAACAGTATGGTCTTGGATTAATAGCATTTTATGCCTACCATTCTATCAAAAATATCACCTCAAAAAATAATATCATCTGTTTAGAGGTGGTAGACCCAGAAAAGTTTTGGGCAGATGTGGTGCAGCGAGAGAAGAGTTGGGCCGAGGAAGGCAGTGCACCGAAAAAAATTAATGTACGTGTGGCACCCGGCGCTTATGAGATTGACGAAATTAATAAGTTCGTCCAAAAAGCTATATATGACTTTCTATATCCGGATACCAAAACTATTTTAAATCAAGGAGAACTTGATGATATGTTTAAATTGTCGGCGAACAACAACACTCTAAAATGTGAAATTTCATCTAAATTTATAATCAACTTTGATTGTGACAACAGTATAGCTAGCCTCTTAGGATTCGGTAATTCAAAGTGCCCGCCAAGGCCTCAAGCTTATGTCTCTACAAGGCCGATCAATATTATGAACCTCCATCTTGTTCAATTGGATTGTAATATTATTTCTGGTTCCTATATAAATGGGAAAGAAGCCCACACCCTTTTTTCATTTGACATAGACGTTGAGCCAGGATACAAACTGACGAAGGAACCTCATAACATTATTTATCTACCAGTCATACCTACCGGTCGGCAATACCTAGACAACATTACTATCCGAGTTGTAGACGATAACGGCGAGTTGATTGACTTTGGAGAGGAAACTATCAATATCACACTCGAATTAAAAGAGATAAACTAATATGGGATTCTGCTTCAAACCACGATATTCAACTAGCGCCCATTTAAATAATCATATAAATAGAATCGAAGGGAAAAACATGAACATTCGTCGAGTAACTGTAAAGCGAAGAAGACTTCTGTTGTCTAATAAAGATTATAAATTTCTTCAATCTATTGGATTCCATATAAGATATTAAATAATGGCTGTTTATGTAAGAAATGAGATGTTGGACGTATTTGAAAAGCCGATCGTCGATAACTCAATCAAAAGATGCGATGGATATATCCACCCGCCTACGGGATCGCCAAATTACAAACATTCTGATACAATCACCTTTACGATCAATAATATGGACCTGAATCTCTTAATTTGCGATAGTTACATCAATATAGTCGGAACATTTAAGCCAAAAGAGGTTAATAAAAAGTGCTATTTGGCCAACAATGCTCTTCCTGGCCTATTTGAAGAAATTAGATATGAAATGGGTGGACAAAAGATTGCTGAATGTCGAAAACCCATTATAACGACAGCAATAAAAAATATGGTGTCATATGGTGAAAAACATGCGAAATTATTAGAAACATCCGGTTGGGGCCTCAGCGAAGAGAATCAAGTTTTGGTTGATTCAACGAGTAATACATTTACAGGTAGAATCTTATTAAAACATCTATTTGGTTTTGCCGAATCTTACAAAAAAGGGATAATAGGTGTTAAGCATGAGATGACTGTAATAATTGCTCGAGCATTCGAAAATTGCTATATAGGAGAAGTCGATGCGGACATAACTATCACTAAAATGGATTGGATAGTCAAACATATTACTCCCGAAAATGATGCGGATGTTCTCATGTATAAAAAAATTAATGACAAACATTTGCAATCCATTAAAATACCACACCATAAATGGGATCTTTATGAATTACCTACTCTAAGGCAAACTTCTCACGACATATGGGCGATTAAAACCACTACATCCATGGAACGACCTAGATATGTAATTATTGGATTTCAAAATACTTCTTTTACTGAGAACAGAAAAGAAGATGTGACGGCGTTTACGGCTGCTGATATAACTAATATCAGATTATATCTAAATTCTGAAGTTTACCCGTTAGAGCGTTGGAATCTAGATGTCGGGAAAAAGTTGGATACTCCCGCTTATTATGCTTATGAAGATTTTCAGCGAAGTTACTACAAAAAGGAAAATCCTGAACCGATGTTAGGCCTGAATGGCTTTAGAGCGAACCCCCTATTCGTAATTGATTGCAGTATGTATCCAAAACCAATCAAATCTTCAACTGTGGATGTCAAGGTTGAATTCGAAACACGTAAAATGCAGTTTCCCGCCAACACTAAAGCGTATGCGCTTATTATTCATGAAGCTCTTATAAGTTATAATGCACTAGATGGCACTGTACACACCGAATATATGCCATTGTAATTCATATACTCTAATTTACTGTATCCAAACTTATACCTGTGTTCACTTTTAACAAAAATAAAAAGATGTAACCTTTTTTAAATAAAAAACATTTAAACTATGTATATTGTTTTATTTATATTTTAATCACAGATAGATAGATAGATAGATATATTATATAAGTAATCGCTAATCCATTTCGTCATCTGCCTCATCATCAGCCTCATCGTCTGCATCTTCATCTAAACCATGTTTACTCCTTATTTGCGGGGTGATGTATGGTAAGGCCTCGTTCAAAAAGCGTTTCAAACTTAGGGTAACCATCTTCTCACAGAATGTATCCAAGTCCAGCTCACATGCATTATATTCGCAGCAAAGACTGCTGCCTTTACAGTATTTCTCATAACAATCGTTTTGATAGGCTACAGCTTCTGGAAACAGCCATACCTCAGCGTCGTAATTGATGGAGTGTAATGCATCCATCGCCAGTGCGTCCAGTTCCTTTCCAAGTCTGCTTATTGCTGATTCTATGTCGATGGCTTTAGGCCAGTGCTCTTCGGAATACATCATCCACATATCGAAATAATCTGAAACAATATTTGGCCGTTATTAAATGAACAAATATGGGCCAAGTTATACTTACAATAAAATTGTAGAAATTCTTAATGAAATATTGTGTTTATTAGATATCTATATGTGATTAAAAGTAAAAAAATATTTACAGTGACTCTACCATGGATTTAACTAATTGATTGCTGGCCAACTAGATCGATTCTTATATGAGACCTAGTAGTTGAGTTGTAACACGGCTTTTCCCCTAAATAGACCATGGCATATTGACCAGTAGAATCATTTATCATAGCAATGACTTCGGATGGCATTATTTCAAAAATGCGCCTCGGTAACCAACACTGGAAAAGCTCCAGCGAATGTCGATCAATTAAATGAATAAGTAAACATTTACCATACCTGGTATCTTTGACCATTATCGTTTTAATAATATAAAGTTGACCTATAACCAATGACTTTAGTTCTCTTTGGTCCAATATTGTGGGCCAGTCTCCAAGTAATTTATTAACCGCATCAATTTGCGTTTGAGCCATAGTAGAATACAAATAAATATTTTTTTACCTGAATAATACACACACAATACTACACTTGGTAACTATTTGGAACTTGTAGACCTTTTAAATTTCACGATTTTAAACTGATTTTATTTGGATGCGGATCCTAGTATATATCCTCTAGAAAATGCCCCCACTTTTTCTCAGCCCTACCCCGATATTTCGGTTAAGCGCGACCGTCTCTAACGCAGGCTAAGCACTCTAGGCACGACGGTCGAGAGTTAAGGACCTACTGCCAACAGTAATCACTAGGAGGCACTTAGATAACATTCATTACACTACATTGCATACAGTAATTACTACCTAAGGTGTACTTACACTTTAATATGTATGGAGTAATGAGATGTATACCCTGTGGGTAATTGGGAGGTACTTATTATGCAATTACAATCATTACAGTATGGCGTGTACATGGTAATTGGGAGGTACTTACTGTGCAATTGCACTTATTACAGTACACGATGTAATTGGGTGGTACTTACTGTGCAATTGCACTTATTACAGTACATGATGTAATTGGGAGGTACTTGCTAATTGCGCGAAGGGTGGGGGGTACTTAGGATAATTACTAATTACCCAATTACCTCTCTCTGTACCTCTTTCTCATTTCCAGAACCGGCCAATTACATCTACTCCCGAACGGCTCGGGTAAGTTCTGAAATATTTACCAGGCTATTTATGTATTGATTTCATCATTAAGGGCAAACATGTCATCCAAGGTTCCCTGTTCCGAATCGTTCTCGGTTTGTCTGGGGGGTTGCTGTCTGGGGGGTTGTTGGCTGCTCTGTTGGGGTGGTCTTCTTGAGGGAAGGGGGGGGGGGGAATTCCTGTTGTGTTAGCCTGTTAGTGCCCGGCTTTTTCTTCTCCCAGGCGTTCCCTTCTGGGAGTGGAGCCGGCACATATTTTCTTGGCTGTTGTTGGTTCCTGCGTTCATTCATCCTCTCTACCCTTTCTAGGTATGCCTTACATTGTGTGTAATTGGCCGGATAATCTCCTAGACAGTTGACACAGGTTGCCGGAGTTTCTCGGGTCTTTACACATGTTCTTGTGTGGTGATTTTCCGCGTATTTTAGGCACTTAGGGGGGTGTCAGCAATTGGCAGTAGCGTGTCCCAACGCCTGGCAATTATGGTATTGTATGATGCTCTTCGTGGATTTTCGCAGTTCCCATACTACTCTGATATTTTCTACTACCCTTATGTTTTTGTTAAGGAAGTCTAGGGTGATTGCAGGGTCTGTGACTAAGAGGAAGAGAGGCCAATTTTTAGTGGACATCTGGTAGATTTCGCATACTTTGATATCGTATGAATGCATGAGGTCTTCCTCTATTTGTTCCGTGGTTATCCCTGTGGTAAGTTCCCTAAGCACGAATACGTGTGACTTCTCAGTCGTACTCGTATAGGTGTGGTATGAGATTTTTGTTTCCTTGATACTGCTTATCAGGTTTAGGTAGTCGCTTGGTTCCTCCACATAAATGATGGTGAAGCTACTTGTGTATTTTATCGTATATTTTCCTTCAACGATGTTCTGGAGGTCTTTGTTTAGGGTGTTGTGGTTTTCTGTCCTGCCTTCTATTACGATTGGCGGCATTGATGTTTTTATGTTTAGGTTTTTGGTGGTTTCAGTATTGTCTGTTTTATTATTTTTTGTTACTATCCTGGCTTTTGGTTTTTTGGTTGCCAAGGGTGGTTTTTGTGTGTTCGTGTCTTCCTCGTCTGAATCAGTGTCTGAGAGTGGTTGGAATTTGTTTTGTACTTTGATGGATCTCGCCGCCTTTTCTTTAAGGATATTCACAAAGTTTGTAGAAAACTTTTTAGGGGTAATGGACGCCCCTTCCCCTGTAATTGTGTCCATATTTTCTGCTACTTTGGCGGTTTGATTTATGACGGACCTCTCGAGAGTTCTCTTTCTTTTAGGTTGTGGTTCTGGAATGGGTTTAGTCGCTTTTGGGACCGCACCTGTGGACTCTGTTGGTTTCTGTCCCGTGAATACGCGTATATCCGATGTTTTCGGCAGACCATCGCGGTTATTTTGTTCGTCTTCACTCGACGTTTGTCTGTAAAGCCCTGTACCGAAGTTTAGGATCTTTCTATTTACCGATTCCGGCATTGGCAATGTTTTGTACGCCAATTCGGACTTTTGCATATCACTACCTGACGCGAGATCCGAGTATTTTTCTGTTTCGTCTTTTTGGTCTCTCTCCAAACTTTCTTTGATCATATTACTAATAGTTTTCTCCATTACAAATTATGAACACAAACGTAAATATATGCCTCAAACAAAGGTACACGATACTATGATTTGGATAATAGGGAGACCGGGGTTGGTTGTGCCAGTTTTTGTTAATTATTTTTTCTACTTTTTGTAAATTAAGTTACATGTTTTTCTTTAATTACCATTTATTTTATGATGTTTCTCAAACATAAAAACACAAAAACATTAAACTTAAGAGTAATATAAACAACGCTATTAATGAATAATGTAAGTAGGTTCAACTGTCACAACTAACCCCAACTTGGGGTTGCTTGTGACACTGCTGGGGTTAATTGTGACATGCTTCACAAGTTCACAAATCATCATCAGAATCGCAATTCTGACATACAAAAAACGGATTGTTGTCAGTGCATGCTTCGTGAGCCCAGTACCGGCACCTAGTACATTGGATCCATATTTCTCTTGAACGTGAATTGAAGTACGGTTCTCCACATACTAGACAATAAGTGTCTGCTTCATCCTCAGAACTACATGGTGAAATCCTGTGGGCAGTCTGTTTCAATGACTTGCGCTTAGTTGTTGCTTTGGTCTTGCAAATATTTCTTTTAGTACCTGACTCTCTTGCCTTTTTCTTCAATTCCTTTTCTTGTTTTTTTCTGTATTCCTCCTCCAATTGTTCTTTGTTGGGTGTGTCAGTCCAAATCGCCGTTCGACCACGTTTGTGCCCTTTTCTAGTTCCCACTCGTTTCTCTGCTTTTGGATCAGAACGTAAATCTTGTGGCGAAAAATATGTTTTGCCAACATTTGATGGTCCAGGTAAATTCGTTTTATCCGACAGAATCTGATCTAAAGTACTCAGTTTTGGAGGTGAATTCATAATTATAGGTGATTGTCTGGGAGTTGATTGCTTATGTTTATCAGAGGGAGGTAATGTTCTTTGAGTTCTATCAGCTTCAGCTCCATCAGCTTGTTTGGGTTCATTTTCTTTATCATTTAGGACAATCTCTTGAGAGCTTCAGCTTCAGGTATTCCATCTTGGTCTGGGATGGTTTTTGATTCGGTTATAACTGGCTCTGTCATATTTTCTGGATTTGGCCTATCTGTAACAACTGCTGGCAAAAACTCATCTTCACCAAATATATGTTTATTAAAAGGAAAAATTCCACTAACCCTGAAACCCGCTTGAATATTGGTCGGAGTTGCAGCTAGAGGTAACGCTTCTCTTGCAATATTTGGGATATCATATATAGTCATTGTTTTTCCTGCATGATTTCTCATCCAAGAATCAATGGTGCTGTTGATGTATTTTTTCAGCGGGCCATACACAGACCGATCTAACGGCTGCATTTTGTGCGAGCAGTGAGGGGGCAAAGTAATCACGACCACACCATTTTCTTTGCAAAAACTTATACCGTTTAACGACAGATGCGACTCGTGATTATCGAGAATCAGTAAGACTGGTTTCTCTTTTGATGAACGTGTATGCTTGGCAAAATGCTTCAGAAATATATAAAATTCATTTTCGGTCATCCACCCCGATGGATTTGCAGTTCCAATACAACCTGGTGGGCCATTGTTCACAAAATGTTCTCTGTAATTCTTCCGAGGGAAAATAAATATGGGGGGAACTGAATTTCCGCTAGCGCTGATGGCGAAACAAAAAGTTACTAATGTACCTCTCTCCGCAGATGTGACATAACCAACTTGTTTCACACCCTTTCTAGCTATTATTCGATCGGGTTTCTGGACGGTAGTTATGCCCATCTCATCAACGTTATAAATGTCTTGGGCTTCAAATTTATAACGATCCAAAACTTCTTCAAGTAGCGAGAAAAAAGCATTAACATTGTTTTTGTTAAAACTTGTGGCTCTGCTAAGACTTGTTGCCTCAGGAGTCCTCAGAGACAAAGCTGTATGACGTTTCAGAAATGTAGTGAGCCAATCCGAAGAAGCCATTTGGTTTTGAATCCAATTTTGACGAACCTCTATTTTGTTTTTAACTGAGAACTCATATGCTAATCGCCGTACTTCTTTCGTCGATAGCCCAAAATACAACTTAGATTATTGGATAAGGTATTCAGCTAAATCGTTTTCCATGCAATCTGGAAGAACCTGCCTATTTCGTTTGTATCCTACTTGAACAGGTGCATTGTTATCTGAAAAAAATATGGCTTTAGACAAGGTTTACATTCAACTAAATAAAATAAGCTTACCTTCAATGTTCCTTTTTCGTTTGCAAAATCTTTGTAGCGTCATCCGGTTTATTTGAAACTCAGCAGCCACTGAACGAAGAGATCTATTGTTAATTAACACCTCAACAGATGCCCGTTCAAAAACTTCTTTCCTTTCCGTTTTGCGTTTATACGTTCTCATTATTATTTTTCTATAAAAAAACAATATGAACAGTTAGTGAAAATAACATTAAAAAACCTCGTTAAAAACATTTAGGCATTATTTTTCAAACTCAAGGAGAAATAAGAATTTCACAATAAACATATTATTAAATATTATTTTTATAAAAGTAAGTAGGTACCTATATGTTTTTAGTTAACAATAAAATATTTTAATCGGCGGCAGTTTGATACGGGGCAAGTTGTGACAGTCACAACCAACTCCCAGACGACATGTTTGTATTTTTTCTGTTTGTTGCCACGAGAAGATTAAAATTAATAAAATACGCAAGAACAGAAGAATGCACATACCTTGATGATTATTTTCGCATAGGAATAGTAACAAATAGGCGTAAGACACCTCGTGTATAAATCTTTGATTGAAGGCTACAATATTTACTTTACACCGCTAGAAACACACCATTACACACAGCAGACGGTGACGTGCAGCCACGGTAACCAAAACTTTACTGAAGTGAAGAGAGCGAGACGCTGTTTATTCAACCACTGACCGTACGCTGTTGCCATTGCTACTATGACAGAATTCGCCTCTGTCACAACTTACCCCTGTCACAACCAACCCCGGTCTCCCCACAACTGCAGTTCTATAAAACATTTTTTGGTTTTTGCATGAACGTAGAAAAAATATTGTATGCAACTCGTGCAAAAAGTGTTTATTGCACTTGTTGCATAAATAACTATAAAATAAATAATTATTGCTTAGTACTAGAATATCATACTTAAGATTATTATTTGTTTAAGAAGTACTGCTAGTACTGCTATTCTAATGTGACGTGCAGTAGAATTAATTTTTAAGTAACAAGTTTGACATTAATGTTAATTTAGATATTTTAATTTTCAGAAATGCTGTTATGTGGACTTGAAATGGTTATCAATTTAACGAAACACTCAAAATGATGGATTTAACTTCGAATAGATGTATTATATTTAATGTAATAAAATGTTAGAAGAGAGAATCAAATTTACTCAAAATAGATATTAGTTAATCAAAAATTAAGTCAATGGTTTCCCAATGATTTACTCGGTAATAAATGTACAAGGGTTGTGTGATAAATACTTTAAAATCGTGTAATAGCAAGATAATTCTTGAAAAGATACTATTTTATAAACTAAAATGTTATATCAAATGTGGGAATGAACAATAATTTAAAATGTGTTCTAAATTAAAATTACTCTATATTTATTTGTCAAGTTAAAATAGTAATTTATGATAAAAGATGTGAAGTTATGCACAGAAAATGGTACCTAATTGTCAAAATTTATACCTATTACCTTTTGTGGCTGTCAATCTATTATAAAAAAACAGAATTCGAAAAATTTAGCACCATTGCAATCATATTTTTAGGTATTTATCAAACAAGCCTAGTGCCAGATAATGTAAACGGAATTAATACAGGGTTAAAACCAAAGCAACACGATACACAGACTCACGGTATGTCCTTGCGCATGCAGCTGACTGACGGAGACGTCATGTAGGACGTACATTTATTAGCATTATATGGAGAAATAGTGTTTAAAATACTATATTTTGCTTTTTATGTTTCATTTAGTTACTTAAGCTTTCTGGTTTATTTTGCAATATATTTGTTTACAAATTTTAATGTTTAACGTGAATAATCCTATAAATTATAGATATTTAGTGACAAATTGCATACCCTAGTCATAAGATAAGTACCTACAGAACATGAGTACAGAATACAGATTAAAAGTACTTTACTAAATTACTCCTACCATCTCTTCTCTTATTATGTGAAAAAAAAAGGTATATGTGTACAGAAACAAATTATTTAATTGCAAAAAGTGTAAGTTCACGAAAAATTACTTTTAAAAATTGGTAAATTTAAATATACTATTTTAGTGCAAAACTAGATCAATTATTATAATTCGGAGAATAATCAATTATGTTCGTGTCCTATTCATGCACAGGATTAATTACTTCAAAAAGGACATGAAGCTACAGTTTTATTAGCTAAAATTTTCTTGTCTTTAATTAATATGGTCGTATGCATCTGGTGGAATTCAGTTTCCATTTTTTGAACTATTTAAATTTGTTTCAAACCACTGTGGAATCCATTAAATATTTAGTTGCTTTGTGGGTATAGGCCTTTTCATCACAATTTTTGCGTCAGTATCAGCCATCTTTTTCGTACTGTTTTTTGTAAACAAAAATGTTAAAATGTCCACGTGAAAAAAAATATAGTCGATTAATATTAATTTATATTCATTTAAAAAAAGGAAAAAAAATCTTAAAAAACTGTTACAAGTTAAAAGAAAAAAAAAATATTTCAATCACTAACGATCAAACACCAAACCAACGTCTAGAATTAAAAGTACTTAGAAAACCTCTAACAGTCTAACCCATATATTTAATTTATGTTTTCAAAATGGATTTGTCCCTAAACAATTTAAAATTGCCCATATCAAACCGTTATTTAAAGCAGGCGAAAAAATGGAAATAATTATCGACCAATTTCACTTACATCG